GGGCACTGTTCATTGGTTTTTGTTGTTTTCTTTCTTTGGACAACAGCACCTTGGGAATATTGAGCAATACTCGCAGATGGTAGAATTGGAACTTGCAGTTCCGCTTTCTTGGCCTTGACCTTGGGTTAGACCTGTGCTGGCTCCTGATAGGCTGATTCCACATTGCAAAAGTGAAAGTACTACTAAAGCACATTCAAATGAAGCAGCAATTTACGTGGAGATTAAATCGGATTTTGAATTTGTCAGCCTCAAACCATATTATCTGGTGGTGACCCTATTTTCTTAGTGACTCAAAACTGTGACCCAGACCCATGCCTCTTGAATCGAAGCGGGTCGGCACTTGTCAGTTCCCTTGGTGAATATTTGTGAGCAGGCTGGGCTTGCTACCTACAAAGCTTAAAAACTGCCCACTTCTGTGCTCAGGAAATATATGTCAAAACCACAAGAGGGCAGCTTGTCTGGTGAAACCAGGCATAGAAAAATGCTGCTCTGTGGACACAGGATCCCACAGACGAAGACTTTGGAAATTCCAAAATATTTCTTGCATAAGGAAGCTCTGTTTGCGTCCCCTGCCAGTTTCATCCAAAGAGAGGATGCCTTTGGAGGTTGGGAGTTTTAAGGCAAGTTCTTTCATGCAAATATCTTCCTTTTCTCTATGGAATATAAATATCCATTTCCCTGTGGGTTCCCTTTTCCTTTCTCTTTCCCTCCCTTCTCTCCTTATTGAGGTATGATCTACATATAATAAATTTCACATGTTTTTAAGGGGTGACTTTAATGACTCTATACTGTTTGGAACCACCCTCCCCCCAGTGAAGATACAGAAATTTCCATCTCTCTAGAAACTCCTGTCATGTTTCTCTGCTGTCAGTGTCCCCTCAGATCCCCTTGAATCTCTAAAGAAGGTGTTCATACACAAATATTGTGGCACTCTCTAGGAGGCTGTGTGAGAGCTCTCGAGAGATCCAAGGAAACTAAAACCCTCCATCCCCAGGGAACTGTGTGGGATTTTATCCTCTGTGGCTGTGTTCCTTGTGGTAATCTGGCTCTTATTCACTGAGAGGAAGACTATCATTAATTGCCCCATCATTAATTACTCATTTGTTCTTTAATTCACCTCGGCTTTAATTAACATTTATTGCATTTAAGTACTTAGACAAATTAACGTAAGGAATCCTCACTAGGAGGGAAGTGCTCTTATTACCTATATTTATAGTCTGAAGAAACTGAGGTACAGTCACATGTGGCTTTGGTAGGCGAACAAAAGGAGTGAGGTTCATTTCCTGATGTAAAACATGGAATTAAATTTCGTAGGAAATTCCATCTCTTCATTGATCAAAGTAGTTCTCTTTCTGTACACAATACCCAGGGGCAGTGTCACCCACGGCCATGGCCAAATGCCACGACCATTCCAGTCTGCATCCCTGACCTTGACCACCAAGCCATCCCTGTATCTGTTTCCCTGGTTCCCACCTTCGTCTTCCCCTGACAGGTCGCCCTGCCTTTGGCCCTCCTCCGCATTGTGGTCACAGTGCTCTTTCTAGTGTGTACTTCTGGTCATGTCGCCTTCCTGATTAAAATTCTCCACTGGTTTCCTGTGCGATAAAATGTGAGCTCCTGGTTCCTGGCCTCGGTCAGCTGCAGGCCCTGCTGCTCCCCACTGCCCACCCTCAGTCTGGCTGTGCCCAACCAGCTGTCATCCTTTCAAGGTGCTATGCTGAGTCCCTGCACCCAGGAACCGACTGTTCGTCTCTCTGGAAAATGTCCTCTTCCTTCATTCCTGTCTGCTGGGCAGACTTACTCATCCTTCAGGACATGGCTCACATCTTCCTTGAGTAGACCAGACAGCAGGGATCATCTTCCCAGTTTCCGTTGCTTCTTGCAAATTAAAGCCAGTGCCACAATGTTCTATAAGGATCTCATTCCAGCTGTGCACCCTCCTGGAGGGCAGAGACTTGGTCTTTTCAACTGTATATTTCTAGCCCAACTCAGTACCTAGCCCAACTCCAGACCTTAAATATCATGAAAGCAAAAAACACACCCATTATCTTCATCATGGCTATTCCCAGCCTGGCTTAGGGCCTGCCCTATAGTAGGTGTTCAATTCATATTTGTTGAAAACACGAATAGTGGCTATTTCTAAATGTCAAACTGTGATGGTTTTGCCCAGGGATTATAAACTGAAGGACCACCAGCATAATCAAGACATGGCCATGTTTTATACAACCTTACAATATTATAAGGTTTCTGAATTTGATACTTGTAGATAGATATTATGCCTTTACATTTATCTCTGTTCATGCCACTCCTTTTTTTTGAGGTACTGGGGATTGAACCCCGGGGCTCTCTACCACTTCGCTACATCAAACCCAGCAACCCTCCCTCTTTCAGATTTTTTTTTTTTTTAAATTTTGAGACAAGGCCTTACTAAGTTGCTGAGGCTGTCCTCAAACTTGCCATCCTTCTGCTTTCAGCTTCCCGAGTCTCTGGGATTACAGGTGTGCACCTCTGTGCCAGCTTCTACTTCACCCTTCTGTTACTGCCAGCCTGTTCCTGGGACATAAGGTTGGGGGCTGTGCAGGGCACATATTGGTTTGCTGGAGCTGCCATAACAAACTACCACAGATTGGGTGGCTTTAACAACAGAAGTTTAGATCAAGGTGTCAGCAGGTTTGGTTTCTCTGGAGGCCTCTCTCCTTGTCCATCAGATGGCCATCTCTCCTTTTTTTTTTTTTTTTTGACACCAGGGGTTAAACCCAGAGGCTCTTTACCACTGAGCCACATACCTAGCTCTTTTTAATATTTTATTTAGAGACAGAGTCTTGCTAACTTGCTTAGGGCCTTGCTAAATTGCCAAGGCTGGCTTTGAACTTGCAATCCTCCTGCCACAGCCTCCTGATCTGCTAGTATTACAGGCGTGCACCACCATGCCTGGCAACCTCAACTTCTCTTCTTATAAGCACACCAGCATATTACAATAGGGTCTACCCAGAAATCTCACTTAAACGTAATCACCTCATTAAAAACTCTGTTTCCTTAGTGCAGCATACTCCTGTAATTCCAGTGACTCAGGAGGCTGAGGCAATAGGTATTGCAAGTTGAGGCCAGCTTCAGCAACTTAGACCCTGCATCAAAATAAAAAATAGAGTGCTGGGAATACATGTAGCTCAGTAATAGAGCACCCTTGGGTTCAGTTTCCAGTATCAAAACCAAAACAAAACCCTATCTCCAATTACAGTCACATTGTGAGATACTGAGGTTTAGGACTTTAGCCTATGAATTTGGGGCAGGGGCACTAATCATTCCAAACAGGTAGGGTCATGGACTCTCAAGTTCCACGGTTTTCTCCTTTGGGTCCGATTCCTGTTTTATAACATGTCAATAAAGGGGAGCCCAGGAACCATCTGAGAGAGCAGTTTGCTCTCTGAGGCCAAATCTGGATGGCTATACTATGCACCTGCTCAAACCTCTGGTCACTTTGATCTTGGGACCATATTCATGGTTCTTAAGAAACTGACATTCAGTCAACATGCCAGGTAGACCTTCGGTGCCTTTCAGTCAAAAAATTGACATGTGGGCTGCAAACTTTCTCTGCCAAGAGTTCAGTGGACAGGAGAGGTAAAAACCATGTAATGACATGGCACCGCCTCCATTTGCTGCAAGCAAACAGTCAGGTCCTTTATTACCCTTGAAATGGGCAACCGTGACCCAGGCTGGGCTCAGAGAAGCAAGTCAGATGCCAAGTTTCTGTGGGTCAAAGTTCCTTCGAGCACTTATGTTAATCAAAAGCTCAGCCTTAGTTAATTTAGCCATTGCTTTCAGGAGAACTTTGGAACAAATGATTACTGAGTGGTATTGCAGGAGTTAGACTCACTGAGTATTTTCTTACCCAGGAGGTGGGTTGCGGTCTTTCTTGGTGGGGGCGGGATTGAGACTCGTCACTTTTATTCATTCTTGGTTGAATCGTGGTTCAATAAATCAGCTGTTCAGAACCTAGTTAGTCAGAATTGTTCACTTAAGGGAATATTATTTGTGTATGGGAAGAAAGGCCAGCTCTAAAGTGCTCCCAGAGGTGAAGGAATATTTAAAATACTGACAATACACCTGGCATGGTGGGGTACACCTGAAATCCTAGCGACTCGGGAGGCTGAGGCAGGGGGATCACAAGTCAGCCTCCGCAACTTTGCAAGGCCCTAAGAGACTTATTTTGAGGCCCTGTCTCAAAATAAAAAGGGCCGAGGATGTGGTTCAATGATTACATGTCCTTGGGTTCAATCCCAGGTACAAAACAAAACAAAAATCAGAAACCAAAAAATGAAAACCCACGAACAATGGTTAACATAAGTTTGTGTGTTTGGCAATTTACCCTAAAAGATCACAATTTCATAGACTTCTGCAGAAAATGTTTTAAATGAGTATAATAGTCACAGCTGGCCTTCACCGAGCCTTTTCTCTGTGCCAGGCTCAAGGCCTTTGTATTGATTGTCACAGTGCCTCAGTAGGTGGGGAATATTAGGCCCTGGTTAGGTGAGAAAAACAAGGCTCAGGGAGGCCGAGTCAGATGGCAAGCAGGGGAGCTGACTTTTGGTAACTGGTCAAAACTGTGAGCTTCCCTCCCTGTTTCTTATTCTCATGTCCCAGTAACATTCCCCCTGCCCTCCCTTCCCCCCTCCCTTTCTCCCTACTCTCCTCCCCCTCCCCTCCCCTTGAATGTCTTTTAGTTAATATGAATCTGAGTGTCTGCAAAATTGGTAAAAGGCTGTGCCATCTTTTGTCCACGTGTATTTGGGCCAGTGAAATTTTTTAGTGTCCAGTTATATCTAGCTTTCCTCGTAATTCCACACACACACACACACACACACACACACACACACACACACAGGGCTGGGTAATGCTGGCAAAACACTGGATTTCTTCTTCTTACTACCCCGTCACCCTGCTCCATTCAGACCCCTCATTCCCATCTTTGGCTCAGTTGTGTTATCTTTTCCATTTCACAGGCCAGGTAACAGCGGAATTAGAAGGATACCTGGCACCAGGTCACCCAGCAGAGCTCAGCGATCCCTTGGCTTTCCGAGGACGTTTGGTAAGTCACGTGGTTTCATCTTCACCTTGGCTCACATACACATGATCCAGGGTTGGAGAACACTAGGTGGACACTGAACATCACCTATTAACATCAAATCCTAAACCCCTCCCACCTTTTACAACCACATAGTATTTTTGTGTTTCCTTAATTTACTAGGCCAGAGTGCCCTATGTGTTTGTAGGGACTAATGTACCCAGGGACTCCCTCAGTCAAAAAGAATGCAAGCGTTCTGTTGGCAATGCTTTTGCTTAAACTCATCTAATACCAGTTCTCATGGAAATGTCTGATGGTGAGTTCTTCTGCCGTGTTGCTGCTTATATAAACTTTAGAATGCCCTCTTGCTTATAGCCCCCCACTGCCACCATAATTTAGCATGCCTGAAATTGGGATGTATTTTATGGACACTTGGATTCAGTGAAATACAGCATTTTCCTGATAGTCCCCAAATGACCAGCATTGACATTCCTTACCTTTTATTTTGCTTTCTTTTCTGTTTTGAAGGGGGAGGGTTGAATTTTAAGAGTAGTAAGTGAATAATATAATAAATAGCAAATTAATGAGAACTGCATGCTTACTAAAGAAAAGAGTCAGGTTTCCAGTTCAGAAAGAAAAAGCTAACTTTGTTCTTTTGGTGGCTTCATACGGTGGTTTTGAGATGAGCAGCCCTTCCCCAGACCCCATGAGCACTAGGTCCTGACTCTGAGAATAGTCCACGGAGGACGGCAGAGCAGCCCCCAAGCCTAGGGCTCGCAGAATCAGACATTCTTATCCAAATCCAAGTTCCCCTCCAGCAGGCAGGTTAGTTTTCTGGACTCAAACAGATGTGTGGGAAAAACTGGGCTCCATAGGGTATAAAAGCAGGGGTTTTAGACTAATACCAAACTGGGTGATTTCTCTTTTTAAGATTATTTCAGGGGGGGGCTGGGGATGTGGCTCAAGCGGTAGCGCGCTCGCCTGGCATGCGTGCGGCCCGGGTTCCATCCTCAGCACCACATACAAACAAAGATGTTGTGTCCGCCGAAAACTAAAAAATAAATATTAAAATTCTCAAAAAAAAAAAAAAAGAGCGCTCGCCTAGCACATGCGAGGCACTGGGTTCGATCCTCAGCACCACATAAAAATAAATAAATAAAATAAAGGTATTGTGTCCGACTACAACTAAAAGAAATATTTAAAAAAAAAAAAGATTATTTCATTCACGTAGGCAAAAGTTCCATGAATCCGACAGTTCTTTGGTCTCTTGCTCTTTGATGACTTTCTTTTTGCCAAACAAGAAAACTCATTTTCAAAACTGAAAAGGCAGAAAGGTGGACACGAGCCATAACTCCACCAATAGCATGACAGACAAGCGGATGTCTGTCTACAAAGGACGTCTGTCTTCCTACGAGGAAGAGATCTGTTCCCACCCTGCATGAGGAAAAAGAAAATTGTGGGTATCAACAAAATGTCTGTGTCCCTTGGCAGAACAGCTGGTCCGTGGTGGCTTTATACCTTGCAGAAGGATATGAAGTGCTGTGGACAATAAGGAGCATGTACCCAGGGTTATGAGGCTGAGGTCTGTGGCTAATGTCAGCATCAAACTTTTGGTAGATTTCATGGTGACACTTAGATGTTAGCACTGAAGTTCCCAAGAACAAGGTCTGGAAGCCAGTCATGAGCCATGCATCCGAGCTATACTCCCAGATGTGTCCTCAGCTGGGCACCAAGGGCAGAGAAAAATACGCTTTCCATGCCCCACAGCTGTACTCACTGGTGTCCGCTGGAGGCTGAGAAATAACAGAAACAGAACAGCTGCATTGATTTCATCAAGAATAACAAAAATTCTGTGTCTGCAAAATAAACGAGGTCCTTTTGAAACTAAGATCAAGGTCAGCAAAATATAAAGGGACACCTTAAGCAAAGAATGAAGTGGTTATTAGGATGCCAGGCTAGAGTGAAAGTCACTAAACACAAACAGGGCCTTTAGATCTAAGATGCCAATACCTACTGATTTTTGTTCACCTCCACCTGTGTAATCAGTCATCACGGGATTCTTAGAGTCACAAAATATTGGAATTAGAACCATAGAACTGATGATGCTAATTAAAATGAACCTTCATTGAGTACTTACTATGTGCCAAGAATAAGAGAATTAGTTTACTTGTATGATCTCTTACTTGGTTACCCTGTTTTTATGTCATCTACAATAATTCTATAGAGAAGGTGTTAGCTTTCCTATTTGGCAAATAAGGAAATAGTTTTAAATATAACTTGTACAAGGCTCAGTGAGTACCTGATGGAACTGGCACACATAATGTCTTAACTTACTTTCTGTTGCTATAACTGAATACCTGGCACTGGGTAACTTACAAAGGAAAGAAGTTCATGTCTCACAGTTTTAGAGACTGGGAAGTCCAAGAGCATGGTGCCAGCATTTTGGCATCTGGTGAGGGCCTTTTTGCTGCATTATAACCTGGCAAGGGGTATTACATAGAGAGTGCAAGTGTGCTAGCTTGGGTCTCTCCTCTTCTTATAGAGTAACTGATGCTATCATGGAGGCCCCACCCTCTGGCATCATATAATTCTAATTACCTCCCAGAGGTCTGCCTGCAAGTACCACTAATATTTGATTTTGGAGATTAAGTTTTTAATACATGAATTCCAGGAACATATCAAAACCATAGTATATGCCCAAGTCAGTCTAAGGTCAGAGTCAATCTCCCTCCCCCCATCCCCAACACCAGTACTGGGATTGAACCCAGGGGACTGAATTACTGAACTATATCCTCAACTCTTTTCATTTTGAAACCGGACCTCACTAAGTTGCCAAGGCTGGTCTGGAACCTGTGATCCTCCTGCCTTGGCCTCCCTAGCTGCTGGGATTACAGGCATGCACTGCTGTAGCTGGCCCAGAGTTTGTTTTTAAATTGCTATTCCTTACGAGGGCTGAGAGAACCTTGGAAGAGAAGCTTTCTGGACATTCTGGCCAGAGTTCTCAGGAGTTCTACAAATCAGTTCAGTGGATATGACAAAAGGTCATATTGAAAATGGTAAAACTTATACTCTGAAATAGAAGTCATGTATAATTTAATTGCAAATTATAAAGCATGTTGGGGGGTTCTCTGATAGCCTCCAGTTCTCTTGGCATTAGGGAGTTGACCAGAACACTTAGCCAGGGTGGTTGAGGGTGCAGTCTGATCAGATCTGGACCCTTACTGCCCTCTGCCCCTGGAACTGGGGCTTCTTGTGCTTCAGGTTTCAATCATTTTGAGAATTTTTAAAAAACACCAATACACAAGCACCAGTCCTTCAGTTCAGATTTAATTGGGTCGGGGGAACCCATACATCAGTATTTTTGAAAACTCTGCAATTGTGGACAACTACTGGCTTACACTTTTGCTTATTATTAGCCTGGCAAATAGCTATGTATCACTCCTTCCTGCCTAAGAGCATCATTTGTATTCTCAAGCAGCTGTTTCTGGTTTGGTTTTTCCTATGGTCTGTGAGGATGTATTGGGCTTTGAAAACCTTTTGACTCCTAGGAAGGAGTTATTTACTTAGCTCAGTGGAGGCCTGTCTGAAATAGATCACCTATTTACACTTCCCCAATTACATGTCTCATGAACCACAACGAAAGTTCCTCCTCATGACATTGCTCAGAATGTACCATTTAATTACCTTATACCTAAAATCTACAGATTGCAAGGGATGATATGCTCCTGATACATCCTAAAAACCCAGGGATTGTTTTTTTGGGGGGAGTGGTAATGGGGATTGAACCCAGGGGTGCTTAACCACTGAGCAACATTCCCAGTGATTTTATATTTTTTATTTAGAGACAGGGTCTCACTAAGTTGCTGAGACTGGCTTTAAACTTGCCATCCTCCTGCCTCAGCCTCCTGAGGATTATCGGCATGTGCCACTGCATCCGGGGAAGGGACTATTTTTGTCTTCTGATAAGCACTGATGTCTCTATGTGATGTTCATTTAAAATAGACACCAATTAGAAGAGAGTAAGAGGTTGACGTAGACAAGCACCTTGATTCTAAAAATGAGGGAGCTGAGGCTAAGAATCAACAAAAGCCAGCCTGAGATTCAGGTCTCTTCATACGAATGTCTTTGCTCTTCCCTGTACTTCTGCACTTAAAATTTCTTTTGTGCACTTAAAATCTCTTTGTCATTCACACTGTGCCTTCCTAGTCCAAGTCAGAATTTTATTCCCAAATTATTGCAGTCTCATGAACCACAACGAAAGTTCCTCCTCATGACATTGCTAAAAATGCAAACATATATACATACTCAGTGAAAACTAGCAGGTTTAGAAAATATTCTAGCTTATTTTATTTACTTAGATTGTGTGTGTGTGTGTGTGTGTGTGTGTGTGTTTTGCTGGAAACTGAACCTTGGGCCTCACACATGCTGGTCAGGTACTCTACATCTGATCTTTACCCTCAGCCCTTCTGGCTTATTTTAAACTGTGTTTACCAAGTTTTCCAAATTAGACTACTATTTTAGACTGAAATAGCTGATTTCTTTGAAGAGGATCATAGCAAACACAAGATGACTCTCCAAGTAGAGAATGAGAGACTTGGCACATCAGCCTTTGTTAGCAAGATGGTTCTGGAACACCTACCTAAGTTTTAATACAATAGTCAACCAAACACTGGTTTTTGTATGTTTTGCCTATCTAAGAGTGGTTTTTACATTTTTAAGGAATTGGGGGATAAAAAGGGAAGCAAAATCTGTAACAGAAACTGTATGGCCTGCAATGCCTAAAATACTTACCACATGGTGTTGACAGGAAAAGTTTGCCAGTCGTTTTCTAGGTGACCTTCACGAATAGACCTCAGCACTTCTCAAGGCAAATCTCTTTCAGAAATGTTAAAAAGGCCCGTGGCTCACACACCGTAAGTTTAAATTCTGTATTCCTTGTGCTTTGGAGAACGCTGAAAATGGAGAGAGGCAGCCAGGCTGGTGGGAAGCAGAAGGGGTCTCCTCACCTCTGTATCCAAATACCA